TTGCGGCATTCGTGCAGGGTCAGGGACAGGCGCTGCATGCCCACGCCAGCACCGGCATAGATGCTACGGTTCATTCAACTTCCCGGTTGATCAAGGTCAGTCAAACAGGGGCGTCAAACGTGTCGTTTGGGTTTTCTGCCGTTGCTCCGGGCGAAAGGTAATACACATGCATGAGTGTCGTCAGGACTGCTTTTCGCAGATTGAGGGATGAGGATTGCTTTTGTTTGAGCAATACATGTTTTTGTTGCAAGCACGGCTTTGTTTACAGGCACCCCCTGCATTTCAGAACTGTTCAGGGCGTCTTGGCACAACTGGAAGTGTTTGAGCTGACTCAGCTTGCGGGCTGGGCAAGGCAGCACCTTGGGGTCTTCTCAGGGCTTCCGGCTTGAAGCCATCGCTGGGAGTCTTTAGGGGAGGGGGGCAAAGTGCAAGCTTTGGGCCCCAACTTTCCATCGACTCGTGCCGGTTTACATCAGTTGACAGCGGATCGTGCAGTGGATGTCACGCCAGCTTACTTGAGAATTTCCGGCCCCAATTTTTGCTACTCCAAGAAAAGCTACTGGTAGTGGAACTACAGGGGAGGTCGTGGGAGTAGAGTAGTGCGAAGTGATAGTCAGAAGTACTGATTTCTGGGCTGTTCAAAGGCAATCCTTAACTTGCTACGACAGGGACCTTGGTAGTCATCTCCGGTTAGGATGAAGGATTTAGACTTGCCAGCCCTCCGTTTCGAAGACGCTTGACGTGTTGGTGGGCTTAGTTTGTAGACCAACAGCGATTTTTCGTGCCTGCCTTGCATACCAATCAAAGGGCATACCTTACTTGGTGCAGGAGAGAAATGCTGGAAATCAGCAGATTTTGCATAACTTATATTTAAATTTTAATACAAGTTGGCAATACGTTGCGTCCTGAAAGTCACGCGGAGAGGATCACCGGATTGTGGAACCAGCTGACCAAGTGGCCCTTTGTCGAAAGCACTTTGCCCATAACCCCTCCTTGGGCACAGAAATTGCTTGGGCAAAGATCAGTGAGCACCTTGGCAGGCGCAGCATATGTCAGAACGCTGCGCACCTGCCACGATCCTGAGTTTGGTTTGGGTTCCTCCGGGGTGGGTTTTCTGGAAGAAGCGAGAGCACATTGTTTTGAGAGGGCTTCCCTCAGGAGCCTTAGAGTACACCAAACACATGCATACCCAGCGGTGTTTTCTCAGCCAAGCTTGCCAACTCGACTGACTAGGATGAGATGACTCAACTTGGGAGGCTCACTGGCCGCAGCAGATCCGCTGACCAAAAGGGCAATGCTGCACTGCGACTTGGAGTCGGGCATCCAGAATTGTATTCCAAGGGCCCGGACTAGCAAACTGAGCTTCTGCAAACAGCTGACTCGTGCGCGGCTTCGCTTTGGCGAAGCCTGAGCGTGTGTAGCAACAGTGCAGCGTTCAGGGATCATAGCTGGCGGCGCGGTTTTCCCCCTTTCAGAGGCCTGGCCAAGTCGAGGCAGGGAGAGGCGCGGACACTTTCAAGTGTTGAGTGCAATTTGTTGCAGCAGAGCGGAATGCGTATTTCGGGGAGCAGCTGCGGCATTGCTGCTGGGGCTAAACATGCGGCTGGGGTGAACAGGGCGTGCAGTCTGCTGACAAGCAGTATCCAGGAAGGCAGGTACTAAGGAAGGGCTTGGTGGGAAAGACATGGGAGAACTGACAATGCAGAATCATCTCACCCCATTCCTGCTTTTCCCCGATCCCTGCCCGTGTGCTTTCCCATTTCAGCTTAAACATGGCTTCATGGCAGTGTAAGCACGGCATGTTGGCAGCACTGTTACCTTGAAACTGTAACTTTGCCATGTTTGGCGTGTTTTGTGGTCCGAGTTCGCCAAACTGGTGACCTTCTGGAGAATGGCTGTGTTCGCACTCAGCAAAACATGCCTTTTAGAACGAAGACAAGTTTGGTGTGTTTGCCATTTGAACTATTTATCCTTCAGAGAAAAACTGTCAAATGTGCTCCTTGGCCAACAAGAAAGAGTCCTTGTCCTGCTCTGTTTGGCCTGGCCTCGTTCCGTGCACCCGCAGTCCTGGCCTAAAAGAAAAAGTGCACGAGTGAAGCCTGGCTCTTGGATTCCGTACTTGGCCATGGATATGTTTGCACCGCACTTGCCTTGTACGCGAGGTCCCCTTGATTGCTCCAAGACCGGGTGCAAAGTCGGCAGTTCCCCAGAGGAGTTCCACAGCGCGAGCGGTGCATTGGATATGGCGGGAACACGAGCCCACCCGTGCCCATGATAAAGATGCCTTACTTGGAGCATAATTGAGGGTGAATTTGTTGTAGTCATTAGCGCCCGGGCGTGCAGGCAAGTGAGTGATAGTTGTTGTTCAATTTGATTCCAGATGCAATCAGGGCTATGTGCAGGGCCAAAAGAATAGCGGCTATGTGCCGTCAGTACTGCATGTTGCAATGAGCATGGGGCACCAATTGCCCGGCCAACCGCAGCTGCAGGCTCTGGTAAAGTATGGTCATCAGATTGAGCAGGACGCACGGCCTTGGTTGCCAGTCATTTCTGGCTTTGGTTGCTACAAACTATGTCATCATGTTTCTGTATGAACATGGCTCGGACAAAGTGCAAAGGTGTGGCCCAGGCACCTAAGGGCATGCAGCTGCAGCTGCTAGCAGCCTTGGGTGCTGTTCATGCTTCCTCCGATGGAGCCTGCGTTCATGAGCCCTCCCCGAGTTCATGAGCCCTCCCAGAGTTCATGAGCCCTCCCAGAGTTCACGGCTGAGCCGATAGCGAGCCATACGCGGAGGTGCCTGCAGTTGATTGGAAGTTCCGTTTGTGCCGGAAGTTGCGTTGCTTCGTGAAGCTGACGCTGTTTGAACCCGGAAGAAGTGTTGTCTTGAACAGCCTGAGGATTTTATTTGCGCAAACATTGTCACGAGAGGACACGGCAAACACTATGTGTATCCGAGTATTTGTGGCTCAAGCCGCCAGTCCTTGCGTGGAAGGGCCAGGAGAGTTAAGTTTTGCACGCTTGTTGAGGGGCCAACGGTGCGTCAACCAGACCAACAGCGGGCATTCAAAACAGGCGCAACCGCATGATGTGCCTAGGCGATGATCCAAAGAACTGCCGATCGCATCACCCCTGAATCCCTGAATGTGCAAATCGCAGGACTGTCAGCAAAGGGCCTCCGCATTTTGCCATGGCCCGGCCGAGCTTGCTTTCACATGCTCCTGAGCGGATTCACCATTGGCGCATTTGGTGAATCGGAAGGTGAATCTCCTCTGGCCGAGTGTCAACATTCGGCTTACTTGCTGCCCTCACGGTACCCCGGAGGGTTGTGCCCCAACTGTTCAACCAAGTGCTTCCGACGCACCAAGCATACACCAACTTATGGAAGTTGAAGGCTTCGGAGGGTTGTTCGAATAACCAACCTTCCAAGCAAGGTCCCTGCCGGTACCCTGATCCAAGGCTGTTGCCTGGGTGCTTTGGGCAGGCCTGGGTTGCGAAAGCTCCAGGCGTAGGCCACTTCTCCACCTGGCATAGGGCGCTTTCAAGATACTTCAGTGAAGTAAATCGGCACGTTAGTCAAAGGATACCTGCTCTGGGTCTCTTTTCAATTGCTCAGTGGACCAAACATGCCACCCTTGCACCTTGCCGAACATGGGACATGTACGGCGTTCCCATGTCTTGCTAGCGTTGCCCTGGGTTGCGGGGCTTCAGCTGAAAAATGTGTTTTCGTCATAAGGCCACCCACCTGTCCGCGACGGACCAGCATGGAAACTTCAGACGCATGAATCTGCATTAGCCCATGGACCCCTAAATGTATGAGGCGGACGCCCACGACAACATTGAGCACACGGAGAGGGGCACCGACCACTAGGGCTCGAGACTCATGTTGAGGTTCTGCCTATTTTTCAGGCAACCCGCGTGCTTCAGCAACTCGTGACTAGTTTCTTCAATGCTCAACACCCGCTCCCAGACCTTAAATGCACCCTTTGTATTGCAAGAATTGCTCTGGGCTGCCCTTTGTTGCCAGCCCCCAATGCGCAGGCGCTGAAGCCTTAACCCACGGGTGCCTAAAGCTGGACTCCCTGACCATGGACAAGCTGCTGGCGGTCCAGCAGCAGGCATTCTTCGTTAAGAGCCACGTCTGCATTAACTCGAGATGGATACTCTAGCTCTGGTTGAATCCGCGTGTGTGCACATCCAAACACTTTCCAGATGCCTGGAGCAGGGATGTCGAGGCCCTGGAGGGCTGGCAGCATGAAGCCGGTGTCTGGGGCTTGTGGTTATGACCCCGGGCTTGTTCAGAAAGCGTGTGCAGTAGGTGGATTTGAGCGAACGGCTTGTTGCTTTTTCCTACACCCGGCCAGGTCGGTTTTGTTGAGAATTTGCGGTGAAAGGCGCATTCGCAAATCCAGGGCCATATGGCTGTGGGTCAAAACCAATGGTACCATTTTTGGGTAGGTGCACCACCCATTTTAGTCTAGTTCAGTGGGGATTGGGATGTTTTTGGGGGTAATTACGGGCTTTTGACCCCTGGCCATATGTTGTGCCTGGCCATCCCAAAAGGCGAGCAACTGCCAGGCGCCGAGTCCATCAGCTGAAGCCCCCGCCCCAATGCGCAGACGCAATGCACGGTTTCTCCTAGCAAAAGCAAGAGAACACCGGAACAACGCCAGGATTTTGCAAGCCGTTGGCACGGGCGGATTGTTGCATTGAATTGTGCATTGGGGCGCTGCACATAGCTTTGCAAGCCAAGGATTGATGAGCCTCACTCCTATGGTGCCTCAGCCGCATATTGTATGCCTTCTGGCGTGTGGATGTGAGTCAGCACCATGTCCTGTAGATAAACCACTAACTGGCATCCAAGGCGAGCCGCTTGGCTGCCTTTGAACCGCCGCTGGCTCACTGCATTGTACGGATCATTTTCGTGGTGTTGGGAGTTTGGGCTTCTCGGGGCCTTCGAAATGTTGCCCGCAGGTGGTTTGCAACAGCTTTCAAGGCAGCCATGAAGGAACCTTACAACTATCCTGCACACCTCAAAGATTCTTTGGCTGTAAGGAAAGCGGCTGCATTCAAGACGATTTGCCAATTGGCGCACGTGGTGCCCTCGTTCTTTGCCGCTGAAGTGCCTGTGCAGCGCTTCAATGACAAGGACAACGACGATGTACCGTGGTGCAAGTAATGGCAACTCCGGATTCATGAGCCCGGCAGATTAATAAGGGGGCTGTTCGCCCCAGAAGTTAGGATTCCTTTGAACATGGGCCACCTTACTGTGAATCAACGGTTGTTCAATTCTGGGTTCACATAGTTACGTTGTTTTACAGATAGGCCGGCAACCAAAGTTGAACGATTGCAGTACCCTAGCTGAAAGTGGGAGTGCCCATCTTGGGTGAGGTCTGATCTAAGGTACGAATCAGGTTTAACCTGACCTTCGACGACTTCCCAGCCTTCTACATATTCAAGGAGCAGACCCCTCACGCACCTCACTGTGCATAGAACATCATGACCTGTACAGGACTCCATGCCGAGCATTAGGTACACAGATGCCACACAAGCACCAAACATGATTCGCTGGCTGCCACTCGGCAGCTAACACCTGGTACAGAGCCTTTGAGCGGCTTTGAGCGATGTTGATTTCGCTGTTTGGTGAGCGCCTGTGAAAACCTGCTCTCATTTGGTCGCCAAGGCGGTCGCATGGCATCATGATGCCATCCATCGACAGCATCGACGAGCTGGACGAGGTTGTGGACCAGTTCTTGAAGCAACCGGAGCAGAGGCCGGAGAGAGGCACAAAACCCGGTCGTCTTGGGCAAGCCACTCCAGGTACTTGGAAACAATGAGAGATCTGGCCAAGAAGTACAGCACGGACTTCAAGGCGTCAATGCAACCTAGCAAGAGCTAAGCGCAGGGAATTGGAGCGATGCACCCGCCCGGATTGCGAGCCTGAAATGTGACAGAGCTCAAAGGCCATTAGAGACGCTGGAAAGCTTTGGTTGGCTCCCAAATGGCCGCGGACGTGAAACGTTGAGAGCATCCCCGAAGTTGACAGAAGCTTCGGAGGGCCGCCTGCACCAACCTGATATAACTTGATGAGCCATGATCATGACTTAACCGGCCTTCGATGCGCTTCTTTTGGGCAAGTCAAGTGTCTGGGTTCAAGTTGCTGTCCTCAAGTCCAAAGCTGACCTTTGTCCCTTCCGCTTTGGTCCCAAAAAGTCTAACCATTATGTTCCAGCCGTTTGGTAGTTAGTCACCAGGGGGAGGGGTGGGCGGAGGCCCAACTTAGCCCGAGGTACGTCAAGATCATGGAGAGGAGTCTCGAAAAAGGACCGGGCTACGCTGCCGAGGAGATCGACCGTGTCATGAAGATCTTGCAGGGCAAGGCCTGAACTGCTTTGATTTCTGGGTGGACCAAAACCCCCCCCATGTCGCAGAACATATTTTTCAAGCCTGAGGGAGTGGGGGGTATTGTCTTCGCGCCCACGCGAAGAGTTCGATTCCCCCCCCGCCCCGCCCACAAAACCAGCAGTTTCGCACAATCTTGTCCACAGCTTATGCCTAGGGTATACATCTATTTCAATAGGACCTGGCCAAAGTTCGGGTCTTAATGACTTGGGTGTTCATTTGAAGGTTGCAAGTCTCTGGCTGCACCACAGGGTTTCAATTTTAATTCATATGTTGTTCGGTTTGAGTGAGCGGGGATCTTTGTGACCCCTGAGTTGAGGCTAGGCCTTTGTGACATGCAGCCATATTTGGAAGATGGCCATGTAAGCTTACTTCCGAACTGTATCGTTGAGTTCATAAAGGTCAATATATACTTGACCTGTGCCACGCGGGCACGCACACATGCACGCTTGCAAGCGCACACCCACGCACAGGCAAGGGCACACGCACACCGAAACCCACACCCGCGGACACACAGACACAGAGACAGACACACAGACACACGGACACAGAGACACAGAGACACAGAGACACAGAGACACAGAGACACAGAGACACAGAGACACTGACACACTGACACACTGACACACTGACACACACACACACGCAATCACACATAGACACACAGATACACAGAAATACGGGGACACAGACACGCAGACATATACACACACGAACACAGACGCACACACAGACGAACACAGCCACACACAGACACACATCACGCACACACAGACACACACACACACAAAGCAACCACACATAGACACACAGACGCACATACATATAAACACACGGACACACACACAAGGCAATCACACATAGACACAGATTCACAGACACACGGGGACGCAGACACACAGACATATACACGCACGGACAAAGACGGACAGACAGACAGACAGACGGACGGACGGACAGACAGACAGACAGACAGACAGACAGACAGCCAGACAGACAGACAGACAGACAGACAGACAGACAGACAGACAGACAGACAGACAGACAGACAGACAGACAGACAGACAGACAGACAGACAGACAGACAGACAGACAGACAG